GTTTCAATTGAATTATGATATTTTTGGAGAAGTACTTATATTCTTTGACCAAAATTAGCACAACCGAAATTTCGGTTTTCAATTTCAGCCGAAATTTAATTATTGTTTCAATAAATGATATAAATGTATGATATATGAGTATATCTGTACATCTTTTATAGGATTCTTATTTTCTAATTTCGATTTCGATTAAAATTGTCATGTAGCTGAGTATTTCGGTTCAATTTCAGCAAAAGTTTCGATCGGACTCTAATATTCTTGTTTAGATATATATAATAAATTTTATCCGAACTTGTTCAAATCACAAATACGTAAAATGTTCAAAAATATTCGGAAGAAAACAAACTTTTATACGTATGATGTCATTTGGATAAAATCTTAGACGTTCATAATTTTAAGAACAAAAAAAGATACATTTTTAAAAAAAGTTGACATTTTCATTGGTGTCGATGGATTATTCTTAAATGATATATTTTGGAATTAAATTATTACAGTACAAAATATTTCATTTATATGTGATTAAGTCAATTTTCAATTATTCTAATACAAAGTTTCAATTATTCTAATACAAAGTCCATTTCAACATTTAAATAATCAAATTGTATTCTAAATACAGACGTTTATCTATTTTTCGAAAAATGATTATATAGGTGTCATTTCGATATCATTAATGTGTAAAAGAAACTATCAACATATATGTAATAAAATGAATTGCTGCATATATATTCTTTGGAGTTGAAATATATATTATACCATTATGCACGAGTGCCCTCCATAATGCTCTATTAAATATATTTTAACGAAAACTGTAAAGTTTAAAATGTAGTATTTTATGATGTATTTTAAATTTCAATTTTTTTGTCTTAATAAAATTATTCTACAATCAAATATACAGGATGTCCACAATTTATGCATACACGGAATAATACAATTTTCTTTTTTGTGCTAGGAAAACAATTTTTTTCTCTGGCAAAATTGCTTTCGAACGAAATTTTAAAATAAGAACAACTTTTAAAGTTAATGAATGCGTTAAGTTATACTTGAATCAAAAGCGACAGACATAGTAAATAATAGATCAAAATCAAGTTAACTTGTAGTTGAAACTTATTAAACTGATTAAGTTTAAACTTATTAAACTTATTAAACTTTCACCTACCAACTGCGCTTAGCAGAGAAAATCACTTCAATAATGCTTGCGAGTATCATAATTTTGGATATAGGATGTTGGCAAGAGATTAAATAAGGAAAAAGAGTACACAGTAGTACTGTTTGTTTCAAAATCCTGTTACACACATTGTACAAAGTACATTATCCTTAAGATGTTAGCAAGCACAGAATTACCACTTTTCGCTGCTTGCACCTCCCCAACTTTGAGTAGCAGCAGTTGCCACGGGTGTTGACCACTCCTCTGGAGGCTAAACAGATAACGTCAATTAATAAGCGTACATTGATATTAATGGCCGTTTTCCTTTTAGTAGATAGTCGATATAAACGTCGTTCTGTCCTTGATTGACATTCAATGAATAAATATGAATGACATTTGTGTTGACTGTCTTATGTTTTATATAAATACATGTATAAAAGAATGAATTACAGAGCTATATAAGTCAAAAGAGAAATAGGTAAATCAATTAAATTTAATGAATCGGAAATAAGTATGAATGTGTCCTTTACCTGGGCAGCCCAATCACCGCTTGTTTGGAATGATTGTGTGGCGCCAGCTGCAGGAATAGCGGCAGCTGCTGGAGGTGCTACATCGTCAGCCCAGTTCTCGGTGGCCACGGCGGTAGACTCAACATCGTTCACCCAGCCAGGTTCCGGAGCAGGAGCAGTCTCCACTGGACCAGTGAATTCCTTTGCCGGCGCGATTTCTTTCGCAGCCTGTTCTTCTTTTTCTGCCTAGAAAGATGTTTCGTAACTCGTTATCAATCGCTATAGAGAAATTAATCGAGGAACACTTGCTCCATGTTTATCAGAAAAGATTAAGCCATAAAAAAAACCAACAGATTTGTTTCTGGATTTTATTTTTTCATCATTATGATAAACTTAAAACAAAATAGTAATCGGATGGTACAGACCTCTTCGGGATCTCTGTAAAAGAAGAGATCGACCACAACATCCCACTTGGTCTCACGTGGGATAGATCCCCTCAGGCGCAATACTTCTCTGGCGAGCAGCCACCACATCAAACCAACAGTGTGTAGACTCTTAGTATTACACGGAATCGCAATGTCTACGAAGCGCAGTGGTGAATCAGTATTGCAGAAAGCGATGACTGGAATATTTACATAACTTGCCTCGGTAATGGGTTGATGATCAGTAGATGGATCCGTGACGATCAGTAGACGTGGTTCACGGAAGGCAGCCTAGAAACAAAAGTTAATCATTATGCCGCAATGAATTATTTTTTGAAATATCTAACAATATTGCAACAAAATCAGAAAAGATTAAGCCAATAAAATCAACAAGTATTAATTCTGGAATAAAATGTTTCATCACTTTGATCTTTGTACTAAAAAATTAAATTAAATGAGGTATTCATTTTGTTTTTCACCTGAATTTGATTGGTGAATGCACCTGGGGTGAAACGTCCAGCAATAGGAGTGGCACCAGTATGAGCTGCAAATTTTAAAACAGCTCTTTGACCCGAATGACGGCAGCTGATGACAAAAACTTCACTAGGGTGTTCAATGGCAACAATGGCACGAGCTGCGAGCAATAACTTTTCCCAGGTGTGGCGAAGATTGATGACATTTACACCAGCACCTGTAATTGTAAAAAAAAAAGACATTAATTAAACCTATATAAAAATATAAAACCTATAAAAAATATAAGTTATGTTTAAAGCATTTAAAATATATATTACTTGCCATCAACTCTTTTCTTATAGACGTACTGTTCCATCTGGAAGTTGACGTTTTCAGCACCAAGATGAGTGCCAGCAGCCAACATTTTAGTAACATCATCCTCTTTGAGAGCTAATACGTCTAAACCTCCTGACATTTTAACGTTGTGGTTGAATTACGAGTCAACCTAAAACAGGATTTTATTTTTATCAATTATTATTAAAAATGAGACAAGAATATATTGCTACATTGAATAAGAGCTAAAGATTATTATTTATTTTTCACTATAATTGACAAAGAGATCAAGTGTAATTTTATCATTATCTTTGCATACAAGCAATATAAACTTTTCCTCAATAATTCAATTCTAAAACTTATACAAGTTTTTCTTTAAATATGATAAGTTTTAAATAATTTGGAGTTATATGAAATTAATTCAATTTAGAAAAATAAACGATTTTATATTATAAGCATCAAACGTACAAATTAAATACAACTAATAGGCCATAATTATTATCATTTATCTTATTTATTGTTATTTATTTAATAGATATTTATAGAGATCTATAAAGAAAAGAGACTGTGTTCAATTTGATTGCTCACATGTTTTAAGCAAAACTTGCAAAATAAGGATAGAAGCACTGAAAGCGTCGAAGGCAACCAAAATGTAATAAAACTAGAATTAACCTCAAAATCATAAGTAATTTCAGATTTAAATAGTTTTCGAAATTGTGGTTAATATCCAACTTTTTTACTATCTAAAATGACAAAATGCAAAGATTTAAGCCACGTGTAATGTATTGAAAATTATAAAGCATGCCACGTGCATGGGATACATCTTTTTTCAAACCAATTACAAAAAATTATCATTAGAGCACACTTTATTTGAGAAAAAAATATCTGTGTTATGAATGAACGTGATTATGTGTTTCAAAATTACCTATTTAAATGTTATAGAAATACAAAGCAGAATTGCAATTTGCGATAAAACTTACGTTATGGGATGCCACTAGGAGACTTCGTTGGGAGACTCCAACAGAAAAGGAAGTTGCACAAGTATGTGTCCTGCGCCTGCGCAAATCGCGAGCGTCATAAATCAAAATAGCTGTTATTTTTTAATGAAATAAATAATATAGAAAAGATGATTATCAAGAAAAAGTATCAAAAAATATTAATTATATTTAAGATTAGAGGAGGAAAATGATTTTTTAGACGATAAAAATACTCGAATGGTAACTGCACGGATCAGTGATATAAATTCGGTAAGGTTTGTTCGGTTCGCGTCGCTATGCTAAGGTGCGATTACATGTAAAGGTAAATTTTTACGACAAAGACGAACAATCAATTTGTTGGCGCTTGTAATAATTTCAACCTATCAGAAATTATATATTCCACAATACATGATTTCTGATAGGTTGAAATTCTTATTCTTTGTTCTTTGTTCCCTGTTCCTTTTAAGCCGGTTCTACATTAGTTGCAAGCTGATCGCAAGTTTGTTGCGACAGTCAATATGAAGCGTTAATTTCAAAATGCAAGCTTCAATTTTGTGGACATAGAGGCGCTAAAGTAATAGCTAAATTCCGGACATGGCCGCTCTCAGGCTTCACTCTGCTGTTAGCGACAAAAAGGATCACGTGGTTAAGATTGACGAATATCAAGCGTCCATTTTGATCACATGATCCTTTTTGTCGTTGAAACAGCCGTTCAGAGCAATTTGTGAAAATTTACCTTAACGGACAGCATGCATGGTAAAACCTAATTGTGTCCACGATGCTAGAACTCGGTTCGAATTCTTGGATCCAGGAATGTATCAGTCAATCAACATGTAAAACATGTCAATCAAACAGTTTTTATGAAAAAACGGCAAATTGATCGATTACACATTTCTCGGTCCGAGAATTTGGAATTCGGATCGAGTTTCTAGCACAATGAAATACAGGACTTTACGCTACTAAGTTCCACGGCAAGCATCAACATCCTGTCCAGTCTTGTGTGCAGGAACCTTAAGTTTTGTATATATGTTCTGTATATATGTATGTACATATTCAAAGCCTTTAAAATTAAAAATATTGATGAAAGTTGAAAATAAATAATTTAAAAATATCTAGTCGGTTTTTTATTCAGAATTTTATATTTGATGTTCTTACTTTGAAAAATATTCGATATTATTGAATGATAATAAACAGAAGTTACAGTCTACAGAAGTTTGTGATGTATATTCATTAATTAAAATGGCTGCCATGGCGCCGTACCCGCTACACTATTCGAGAGACAATCTTTGCCGCAAGTTATAACGTAAGTTATTTTCTAAAAAGAGTGAAGAGATTGTATCTTCGAATCTCCATTAACCATGGAAAATCAAAGTAATGAATTAGTGGTGGGAATGTCAACGTTACCCGTAGTATTACCTATAGTAGTGAAGGAGGAACCTTCGGAGCAAAACATTTCTAAACAAGATACACAGCAATCTCAAGTGCAAGATGCAATTTGTATTGAAGAAGACTGTAACGATCAACGTATTGAGTGCACTACTGAAAGTCAAGAAAGTGAGATCCGTGCATTTCTTTCAAAATGCGTTTTTTGTAATAAAGTGTTCACCATGGGTGAGGACGCAAAACTTCTGGAGTGCTTACATGCAGCTTGCATAATGTGCGTTAACAATAAAATCAGCGATCATAATACATCAGTCGATGTAGATATTCTGTGTATGTAAAATATATGTAAACTTCTTTTTTTTATTCTCAATGACCTTTAGAAAAGTTGATGTATATCCGTCAATATTAGATTATTAAATACTATTTGTAATATTTGATTGTTAAATATAGTAATACTGGTTTCTACTTTAATATTTATTATAATTTTACATTAAATTTATTTTATATTTATATTAATGTTATCTTTTGCAGTAGAGAGTAATGTGATTATATGTCATGTTTGCAACGTAACTAGCCAGGTGGAAAATTTGATTGAAAATAGATTTCTGTCAAAATTATTAGAGGAAGAAAGTGATCTAGGATTGGATGATGAAGCTAAGGAAGCTGAGGAAGAAAAAAAATGTACTAGCTGTCATGATAATATTATTGCTACTAGTTGGTGTATGGAATGTGAAGAATTTATTTGTGAAAATTGTGTTATGGTAATTATAAATTTATATTAAATGAAGGAAAAAAAAAATATATATATATACATATATAGTGTATCCTGTGTGTGTGTGTGTGTGTGTGTGTGTGTGTGTGTGTACACACATACACAGGATGTTGCATTTTAAATGATCATCCCCAAAAAGTTTCTTTGTTTGCAATTTTATAGAGAAAAATGTGAAACAACTTTCCAATGTCAAATCAATAACACCATTTTATGTCCCTCTCCACATCATACAATTTTTATCTGAAATATTTTTCCTTAAAATTACGAACAAAAAAAATTTTGGAGCAACGATTGTTTAAAATGCAACACCCAGTATATATACAGAGTTAATCAGAATAGTTGAACCAATTTTTTACTCTAAACAGGCACGTTCGATATTGAATTGTAAAAAAAAAGTTACAAAATTTTATTTTTGTTACAAGCGAAGATATTAAAATGCGCCTATTTCTCAATGCGTCCAAACCAATTCACATGATATATCCACGCATCTGTATTGCTAAGTCGATAATTAGATGTGAAATCGATAATTTTCATAAGATAAAAAAACTGGTTCAGTTACTCTGATTCACTTTGTGCGTGGCATCGCTCGCACGCGCGTGTATGTGTGTGTATGTGTGCATCATGTGCTTGATCTTTTTTATTCAATTTTTGATCAGAAATAGTACTATACGATCCGTGTACGAACTTTAAGAAACACTCTCTGTGTGTATAAATAATCTATATCTCTTAAATGAGAAAATGGAAGAAATTTTTTAAATGAATACCTAAGTTGTAATGTTGATTAATCATGTTGGATGAAACTATTTTAAGGCTCATCAAAGATTGAAGATAACCAAGGATCATATAATTAAACCTAAGGATGAAATAATAAATGATAGAGACAATGTTAAAAGAGGAAATAAGAAGATACCTGGATATTTGTTTTGCACAATTCATTCCCATGAACAGTTATCTTTATTTTGTCAAACATGTGATAGATTGACTTGTAGAGACTGTCAACTTAGTGAACATCGTGACCATAAATATAAATTTATTCATGAAATTGCAGCCGAAACTCGTACTTCTATGTCGATTTTGCTTAAAGAAGTAAGGTAGGATTTATAAAGTAGCTATCAAGTAAAAATATTAAAGGATTGCAGATGTAAGATACAACAAACAATATTTTTTAGTTACAAACGAGTATTATTAAAAAGTGCGATGAAAGTTATAGAAGATAGACAGATTCTAATATTGGAGAAGAAAAAAAGTCTAGTTCAAGATATAACACAAATGGTAGTACAGTAAGTATTATAAATTAGGGTCCGGAAGTTTGAACATAATCATAAAGCATGCGTGAAGAACTAGAGTGAGTCGCATACTTGCTGAAGTAAAATGACAAGATTTCGAGACATATGGCCTATTTAATATAAACAAATCGCGTAGCAATTCTTTGCATGTGCCTCGTGATTGTGTCCTAACGTTCCAGCCTTAATTATAAATACATATGCATTAAGTGCATACACATATATACATAATACATATGTGTATTTGCATTAAGTAATATAATTCAATTAGTCACTTATTCTTTTATCTTATTCTTTTTGTATCAGATTAACAAATGCTATTAATACAAGAGGAAAGCAATTGGTGATGAGGTTAAATGAAGTGTGTGATCAAAAACAGAATACATTAAATGAGAAAAAAGTTGCTTTAGATCAATTGTCTAAACTTACAGATCATTGTATACTTTTTGGTACTCATGCTTTGAAAAAAGGATCGGACATGGAATTATTATATAGTAAAAGGTATACTAAAATTATAGATATCTGTTACACACACACACACACACACACACACACACACACACACACACACACACGTTCCTAAGATGGAACATTTGAAATATTACTACAAGCTGTTATCTTTAAAAATATGCATCATAGCAAAACATGTTTCAGAGAAAAGTTATATAATTTGAAGGGGATTGAATAATAGTGAATTTTTAATTAAAAAAAAAATAATTTTTTAATATTATATGAAATAATTTTGATTATTTTGATGATAAATTTTTAAATACTTTACATTTTATATCAGATTCTTGGATGACATTGAGATATTTAAAAAATGGTATAATTAAACTTTCTTTGATTAAGAGCTTTGTACTAATCAATTTATATATATATATATTCACACATAATAATATTATTACAGATCTGTTACAAGCCATTTACAAAGAATAAAAAGTAGACGAGCTGATATTCCAAATCCAGAAATACCTGTCAGGATACATTTATCCTTAGAAAAAGTACCAGATTTAATAAAAGGTTTGTAACACTAAATCATTTTTTATCTGACTTTTTATTTTTATACTTTTACTTTATTTTTTACTGTATTGATTTAATCAATAATTAGATAATGCTAATTTAATTAATAATTAGAGATTTAATCTTGAAATTAGAAAATCAATCGAGTATATTTTACATGTAAGCGTAATCCAATTTGTATTATTTCTACAGTGGTGTCATCAATCGGAGCGATAGTCGTCGATGGTAGAGTATATCCGTCCACATCTCCTGTGGCTGCTAATAACAGCACAGTGTCTTATAATGAATCACAAGCCGAACAAAAGCAAATTACGAATTCAATAAATAATACTCACTCTGATAGTGTTATGCCTGTTGTCATTCAGCAGGGATTACCATTACCTGTAATGGTAACACAACAATCCACTAACGCGCCACAGAATTCTTATCAACAAGCGTCTCTGCATCTTCCACAGCAACAGCAGCAGCAACAACAACAACAGCAGCAACAACAACAACAACAACAACATACTCAACAATCACAAAATTATATGCAACAGTATATCGCACCGCACAGTATGTCACCTCGATCATCGCCACAAGCACATCAGCCACGAGTACCGTATTCTGTCAACTATAGTAATAACAGGTTGCAACAATCTCCATTGATGCATCAACAACGTCCATTGGGAACCTGTCATCAACAACAAGTAACATCATCCACACATCCACATCAGCAAGCTCAAAATCTAGATCAACTCGGACAGAACACAAGTTTACGGGGTCTTCTCGCGCATAATTCTATTCCACCGCCTCCATATCCAGCGTTTCGGACATCCACCAATCATGTACCATACCGATTTTCTCCTGGATATAGATACTCTTCAAATAATAACCCTCAGAGGGTCCAAGTACCACCACCTCATACATATCAAGCAACAAATACATCCATTGTACCTGTGACGTCACGTTTACAACAATGTAATTTAACTTCTCCGTCAACGCAGCACATTGGAAATTATCATCCCATCCATCGCTGGCATATACCACAACAAGCAAATCCTTGCCTTCCTTATACTTTGCCTCGACATCAACATATATCTACTTACACATCAGTTCCTACCAATGATACATACAAAATTACTTTAAGAAATCAACAGACTAGCAATAATCAAAAATTTAACACCAATGTAAGTGCCACTTCATGTGACAATCCACCACAGTTGCAAAATTCAGCTACTGTTTCATTGTTACATGCTGTCAGTTCGTCTATACCCAAAACACCTAGTCCTGTCACCACTCCTGGCAAGTCGGATGACACCGAAAAGAGCTTAGATAAATTTTGTCAAAAATCATTGAATGATCTAATGCTCACTATTGCGAAATTAGATAGTAATGGAATCCTAGTGATACCAGAAGCTCAAAAAAATCAGGTAGACTCGGCACAAGTCGATAGTTCCACTGACGAGGATATAAACTCGATAGCTGAGAATGCAACGGGTTAGTTAAACTCGATATTATTTCACTTTAACTTAAAAATGTTACTATACAATTATAACAAACGTAGTTTATAAATCAAAAATTAACAAAAAGAAGAGCATAAAATCACAGCACAAGATATTCTTTGTGATATTTAATATATAATTACGTTAATAAATAATTTAGACGTTTCGGTTACAATCTGGCAATCTTCAGTAAAATTACAAATGTCTATAAAACAGAATTTACATAAATCTAACGTTAAATTCAACGGTCATAAATATAAATATAAATATACATCAATGCATTCTTTCCTCTTGTAAGAGTACATCGTAAAACATGGTTGTAACGCCAGTAATTTCACGCCATCAAGTTAATGAGATGCATGAATTGGGATAATGTTCGAATTTTAGACACAGAATAATCATTAGTCAAAAGAAGAATTTCTGAGATAATATATTTATAAAAATCCAAATAAGTAGTATCAATAAGCAAAGTGACACTGAAGGTTTGTCTAATGTTTATCTGCTTTTTCTAAAGAAAGATCTCTCTCACACTTAAAAATAATTCTAAAATAATCTGAATTTTTGATGCACATATAAATAGTGGACACATATGAAGATATGAACAAATAATAATACACAATATCACGAATTTCCATCTGCATGAAGAAAGTGCTTAAGATTCATTATTTTGTCTGTAATACAAGTAACGAATTGTTAATCCTTATCAAATTGACTAGAAGATATTAACGATATATAATTTTTTAAATTAGAATCTGGCAATTCTTGTTCTACATAATTTGCAATATGACAATTGGCGCTGCAACACATTTTACGATGTATTCTTACAAGAAGAAAGAATGCATTGATGTATATTTATATTTATGATCGTTGAATTTAATGTTAGATTTATGTAAATTCTGTGTTTTATGGATATTTGTAATTTTACTGAAAATGGCCAGATTGTGGTCGAAACGTCTAAATTATTTATTAACATAATTATATATTAAATATCACAAAGAATATTTTGTGCTGTGGTTTTATGCTCTTCTTTTTGTTAATTTTAAAAAGTGTTAACTATACTCTTATTTTTTACATAAAAAACTCGGCTTAGACTTTTCATTTCAATTTACATGTCTTTTCCAGTAGATAATTCGAAAAGTACAACCGCTTCTATGGTGATGAAGGACGATCCAAATGAAGATTGGTGTGCCGTATGTATGGATGGAGGAGACGCAGTACTGTGCTGCGATAAATGTCCAAAAGTCTTCCATCTTTATTGTCACGTACCTAGTTTAAAATCATTTCCAGAGTAAGTTTTCTATTTATAATGTATCTTTATCTCGCTTTTCCTTTCAACTATTATTAATTAAGCATTTTTTTTTGTAGCGAGAGTGAAACTTGGCAGTGTATGTTGTGTACAAATGTACTAGATTGTTCGGACGATATATCGAACAGTGAAAAAAGATCAAACGGTATGAACGCTAAGGAATTACGAATTGCACAAAGGATTGTCTTAGAACTTTATTGTCAATATGAGCAAAGCTTACCTTTTCGGGAAGTTGTATCGAGTGAGGTAAGCACGATAGGAGCACGACGAGGGAGCATCATTTTTTTCTCAAAGTGAATGTTTGACAAGTCAAGATAATTCAATGAATGTTTTTGTTTTTAGATTACTGATTATCATCGAATTATCAAGAAGCCAATTGCGTTGGATATAATCAGGGATAAATTAAAGTCTGACCATATAGATCATTATACAGATCTAAGACAAGTTATGGCGGACATTAGACTTATGTTCAAAAATGCTTTTACGTACAATCCCGTAAGCTGATGAAGATTTTTAATTCTTATTTTATTTGTCATTGTCACCATTTATATTCTTTTTTTCAGGTGGATTCGCAAGTTTATCAAGAAGCTAGAAATTTAGAAGAGTTTTTTGAAAAGTTGTTATTGAAATGGGCACCAAATTATGCATATGACGATCCTTTCCTCACACCTGACAAGGAAGAAGATGAAGAAGTTTTTCCACCCAATAGAAAATATAGACGCATAATTAGTGATTAATATAGAATAAGTGAATTGTTAAGTGTATCTCGTCGGAATCGTTGTGTTTGGGAGTAAATTATTTTTACGATTTATAATTATCGGATTAAACAGTTAATAACTTGATAGAATGTGATAAATACTATCCACACTTTTTCGCAATATGATAAATACTTAAAATAATTGAAAAGACAAATTACATGAGCATTTATTATATGTTCTCTTTTGAAATATTTATAACAAATTTTTTCGGTTTTTCAGTTAAATTGACGGTATTAAATACTTTAGAACAAGGTGACTATTAATGTATAACTTCGACATGCTTCATTTCTCGAATATACACACATATATATATATATATATGTGTGTGTGTATCACATATCATGAAACTCGCTTACAATCTCTTTAGTCTTAAGTAACTTTTAGAAATTCCTTAGCTATACATACTTTTTTTATCTTTGATATACACATTTGTGTCCCTCGGATCCCATCCATATTTGTTACCGTAAAAATGGACATATTTTAATCAATTTTTTGTTTCAATCGATAGAAAATTGAAAGGATAAGTTATTAAGGCATAAGTCCATAAAATTGATAGAATTAAAGAGTTTTGAGATATATAGGTTCAAAGAAAAAGAAAAATTTAAAAATACGAAAAAATGTCGATTTAGCAAATTGTACTGAGATTTCTGAGACCCATCTCTTCATTGCCCGTAATCGAGGTCATAAGGGACTTACAGTTAATTTTAACGTCATGTGTATAGCTAGGATTAATTAATAAATTAGATAATATATTTTTAGCAGGGAATGGAAACACGCATTACTTCCTTTTTATCGTTATTTTGTTATAATGACAATTTAATAATAATTTTGCGAAAATTACTTTTATTCGTTACTTGTCGATGCGTTACAAATAACGAAATCTATTTTTCTCAGTAAATAACGTATAATGATGATAAGTTACTTGACTTTCAAAGTCTCTCTTTTAGTGCAAACTTAGCATTTAGATCGTTACAGTCATAAAAAATTGCAACATTATCAAATCGTTATTATAAAAAATATCGGTAAAAGTTACTATAATATATTTCATTTCCTGATGTTAATATGATACACTGCTTGAAGTTTTATCATGTTAGTAAACTATAAAATGCTTAACATATTATATTTGATTAATAATGTAAGTTGATATACAATTATTTGTTGAATAACGATACTTTTTTGTCTTTTGACTCTTATCGTATGCAAAAAATATTTTATAAAATATACATATATAGATAATAAAGTTCCATTTATACTACTTTCACTAAGTAATTAACTTTTTAGACGCAACACTTTTTGTACTTCAAAAAAAATTATTTTAAAAAATTGTGGGAAGACGGCTATGAAACATTTATGTATATTTTTAAATATATTTTCAATTATATTTATATTTTTTTATTATTAAACAGTTTTTTTATTGATTTTTTTATGCAATTAACTTTCTTCTTTGATGGAAAAATTTTGTTGAAATTTCTGAAGATGAATTTTTCAGCAAAAATATTAAAAAATCACCGAAATTAAAATCTACTATTTTTACTAATTTACCTGGTTGAATCCGATTGAATCTGAATGTAATATTAATGTGATATTCGAAAATTTCATACAGTTGCGAATATAGTGTAACTATAATATACAGGAATGTACTAAATTCTTTTATTATACTATATTCGCTGCTGTACGAAAATCTTAAATATTACATTCATATTTATGCTAACGGTTATGCGAAATAATTCTATGCCTTTTGATATACTATTTTAATTTTACTTTTAATTATTTTAAAGATAAATTCAATTTCGGATCTTTATTCCTGCACTGTCTGAACTGGTGTACATCTGAACAGGAGTACGTTCCAAATCTCGATTTTGTACCCGAGTATTACTTTACTTTTGATGTTCACCAAATGCTGAACAAAAATAAAAGATATTCGTAATCTGCTTCGTAATTGACAAGAGTCGAGTTTTGAAATACATCCCAGTGTAATAAATAAAATGAAACAAACGTATATTAGCCGTATTCACCTTAACTTATTGCAACGTATACAGTTTAAACAGTGGAGAAATAAAGAATAGACTTTTTGATTGCATCTATACTATCATTTCTTAGTAATTTTTTATTTTTCAGCTCATGTGAAGCAAGTCTTTAAAAATTAAAGCCGCTGTTTCATTTGTCTTTTTGTCGTACGATAAAAGCATTTAAACTAGTATGTGTATTCTTTACATTTTCACTAAAGAAAAAAAAAACAAAGTATTTCAATGCATAGTATTTCGTCGTAATAATAAACAGAACACTCTATATATAAAATTTCCAGTCTTTATTCACTTATTATAACGAAAAAAATCAGCATTAAGTTTCAAATTCTAATAAAAATAATTATTATATAATATATCTCTTCATTTGCAATATATCAATTATGTAATTAATTATAACATTCACATTTCATGTACATATATATATATATATTATTTTTTTAAATTCATTTTTACTGAATTTCATTAAAAAGAATCCTTGATGGAAAAAATTTATACATCGTATGAATCCATCAAAAGATTACCATCTTTATCTTTTAACCGTTTTCTTCCACTAGAATAACGTGTTTCTTGAGTACCATCCGCATAAATTAGCTTTATAGTACCATCAGGATATTCTCGTCTCTGAAATATTCAAACAAATATTTATTAATTGATATTAATTCAAATTTGCACGTTTATACAATTCTATTTTTATAAAAAAAAGTAAAATATGCGAATGGGAACAATGCATTTAAAATACAAAATAAAAAGTTGAAACACTCATTCACCTTATGTGCTTTTGTATGAATTTCTTTTTGTCCATTTGGTAAAATTAAAACCTTGTCGCCGTTAACAAAAGTTTGCGCTACTGTTCCGTCTGGAAATAACACTTCGACAGTACCATCGGTCATACGCTTTTCCACTTGACCACTATATACAAATATAATTTTTATTTATTAATGCATTATTTAGAGAATAAAACAAAACAGCAAATTGGAATAAGCGAACATAATAAAATAATAAAATAAACATACTCGGGAAATTCTAAAATCTCTAAGCCATCGGAAGTCGTTGTGTGCCATGTTCGAGTTGTGGCATAAAAATATTTTATTCTCTTATTTTTATCAGTTTCACGAACATCTCCATTGTAATAAATCATTTTTGTAACTTCTTGATCGGGAAAGATCTTTTTGACGTTACCATTTGGATACCAATATTCTATGCGTCCATCAGGAAACTGAATTTGTTTTACAGCATCCATACTGGTCTTACCAATCTGATTCTGAGAAGCGGAAGGATGCAATGTAGAACTTAAATTCTTCTCAAATGACAATGTTCGATCTTTCTTTATTTCTTTTTCTATTTTTATGTCATTTTCAGTTGAATCCTGATTTAATTCACGAGATTTGTTAGTGTAATACTCTATATCATTTGCAACATCAACTGTTGTATGCCTAAGATTTTTGTTTGTAGAACTCGAACAGGATTTACCATTGCCTTTTGCACTCAGATTATGTATTTGTGTAACTACTGGCTGGGCATCACTCAATACATCCTGGTTTGTATGAAATGGATTTTGATTTTCTATTAAATCCGATGTTGCGTCTTTTAATAAATTTTCGTATAAATATCGCTTTTTTACCGCAATGTTTTCTTCCATGAATTTTTGATTGCATTTAGGCTGTGATTCAATTTCAACTTGTTTATACTTTTCCTTATTTGTAAGTACATCACTCGTTATTTGTTCAAAACCATCATTTACTTTAATTGATTTCGTAATCGATTCATTTCGAGTTTTGTCTTCATTTTTATCATCATTGTCAGGAGTGGAAGTATCTGATGAAGTATTCGATGAATCGTGACGCATCTTCGTTGAAGTCTCATTGGATGGAGTCACAACAACGCGTTTGTTAATTTGATTGATAGCTGTCGTAATTACTTGCCCCGTATTCCTCCTAAGATTTCTGATGTTTGTTCTTTTAATATTTTGTAAATTCCCGACTTCTTGTTTCAATTTTGATATTTCTACTCGTAACACACGAAGCTCGCTTTTGTATCTTGATTCAGCAGCATTCCATCTACTTTCTTTGATATTCAATTCATCTCTCAATTCTTCTAATTGCTCTTGCAGATTTTGCGCCTTTTGTCTTTCCATTTTACTTTGCTTTGCCTTCTCCTGAGCATCGCGAATTCTATTTTCCATTGCTATCTTCTCACGCGCTATTTTCTTTTTCTCCTCTTGTAATTGGTTTTCTACTCTTCTTCTATTTTCCTCAAAATCCTTTTCCTTTTCTGCATATTGTTTACATCGAATTATCTCCTCTTCTTGTAATTTTCGGCGTTGAAACAACAAAGCTGAACTTTCCTTTCGAAATATGTCTATTTCTTTTTCAAGTTCTAATAAACGATTTTTTAAAAGGTCTGTTTCGGAAATATTCATTTGATTAACATGCTTCTCAGATAAATAACAATCAACCTCTCTCACATTCGAACATATTTTCGCTATCTCTTCCGTTATTTTTTCCGGTTCGCTTTTCAACATATATTCTTTCTTTTTATGTGTACGTAACTCTCGAGCGTCCGATGATGATGATGACGATAATGACGACGACAAAATAGATCGCTCTTCATCAGATGTTTGAACAATTTCTTCAATTATTGGAGTACATTCGTTATCATAGCATGTATCTTTGTTGGACGATTCGTCATTATAATTTAAAGCATTTTCTTCTTCGAGAACATGTATAGTTTTCGTCAAATGATTATATGAATCTTTTTTGTTATATCCTGTTACGTCTTGCTGCAAAGACGATTGTCTTGGAGTGTCGATCGTTTTTTTATTGCTGATAATGTTCAAAGGGGAAGTATGAATTTGTTCCTTATAATTAAATGGCAGTTTCTTTTTTACATTGCACGATTCTAACGTATCAATGGAACAATCATTCCAATTCTGTTGTTCGAGATAATCATTTAAAGAAGAATTACTTACTATATCAGATACATCGGTTGAATCTATGGTTCTATATTCATTATATTCTGAAAATCTAACATGATGATTGACATCCGCTTCACTTTCAT